GGACCGGTGCGGTGTTCCTGACCTCCGGGGCGCGCGTGTGTTTGGGTCTCCCCCTTTGGCAAGGGGAGGTGTGGGGGTCGGTTCTGCTGGGCAAACGGCGGTCCTTTGCCTTTATTCCTGGCAAACCGAAAAGTCTTGCCGGGGCTCGCTGGGGAGCGCGCCGCACGGCTGCTCAGGAGGAGCTCTAGGGGCGCCCGGGTCCCTAAAGTGGCCAAGCCACCTCGCGTGTGCATGTTTGTGTGTAGTGACAGCCCCGATGATGTCATGTGCCGCTACGACATCCATTCTCCGCACGTTCGTTTTGTCCGTTCCGTAAAGAATCCCACGTTGTTGATCGGGAGCGCTGGAAGGAATTTCGCTCGGATTTCCGTAATTCGGCGCTGCCAGGAAAGCGATCCCCCCGCCCCAGTGGACTGGGCTCTGCTTCCACCGACGAAGAATTGCGTGAGCGCCGGCTTGGCCATGCCAACCGCGAAAACGCGCGGGGATTTCTCGAGGTGGGCTGCTCGGGAGGAAATCCCTCTTGACCGCTGTTAAAGGTATGGCCTGACTGACTGAGGGGGGTTTTGCGGTGTCTGCGTTAAGCGGCCCCAGCCGAGGCCTTTCAACACACCTGAACTACAGTGCCCATGATCCCCAGCAAGAAGAGTTGGGGATACTGGGGTTTGCAGTTAGACACACTTGGAAAGTGCCCCACGGCAGAGCCTGGTTGATGTTTTTATAGGTAGAGGTCACGCTGGCTGAGGATAATGGGTGGGATAATGCAGTGCCTACGGAGGGGGCTGTTTTGGGGAAGGCTGGAATGTGCAACCGAAGGGGGAGTGGTTGGGGGCTTTGCGTCGCGGGGGAGAGCATGGATCTGTTGCAAGGAGCTGGAATGCATTGTGGGTCTACTTTGCTTTCCAGTGACTCATGCGGCTTGGAACTCATGCGCCGAGGGGGAGATGTAGTATTGTGTTAGCGATGTTCTTCATGTGGCCGCTGTGTACAAGTCTGGCACAGGCAACGTGGGGTTTGGGTTGGCTTTGGGGACTCTGAGTCTCTGAAGCTGACGTGAGACATGCGGGTGTATGCAGCCTTGCCTTGAGCTACTATGGTTGTCGGGAGAAGCTTCACAAGTGCGAATACCTGCACAAATTCAGTTGCTGCTTTTGCTGCTTTTTTATTTTTTAAAAGCAAGCAATGCCCTCCCACTCCTTGCTTTTTGAAAAAAAACCCTATGGATAGTTTAGGTCAGTGTTTCTCAACTTTGGCCGCTTTAAGATGAGTGGACTGGCTGGGGAATTCTGGGAGTTGAAGTCCACCCATCTGAAAGTGGCTAAGGTTGAGAAACACAGGTTTAGGTGGTCAGGAAGGGAAGTATCCAGACAGGTGAATTGGCCCCTGGAAGACTGCCTGGGTGAGTTGCATTGTTCGTAGAAGCAGGGGGATGTTCTGTGAATTGGGCGCACCATCCTCATTGGTAGCATGGGAGTCTCTGGGGAGGAATGATGATGTGCATCATGTCATCCTGCAAATGATGTGCCTTGTGTGCTTATATTGGACATCATGATGTAAATCACTTAATTGCTTCATTTGCAAGACGTCTTACCCGTGAGAGTGGAGTCATCCTCATAAGTCTAGTAGTCGTAGCGTAAGACAAACTTCCTCCCTTCTTCACCGAAAAGGCAGGTGGAGCCAAGCAAAAAGCTAATGGCTTTCAATTGCTTGAATATAAAGTTCACATTGGAAAGCAAAAGTACTGGTTGCAATTCTTGTGCTATCACCTTAACCTTTTTCTTAATAAATCTTACTAATCCAAACTCAGAAGGGCTTGTTCCTTGAATTATTTGTTTCCAGTCCTGATTAGAGAGTTCTGATATGACCTATCGTGGCTTGTAATGGACATCTATGCGTTTCTGTCCCCTGCACTGGACGGATTGAAGGAGAGGCTAGGCAGCTGTTAGTTATTACAATTTATTATGAGTCTGGCACTGAGCAGGAAGTTCATCTAGATGGCCTGGATCAAAGACAAGTAACAATAACATCTGGGTTATGTGAGGTTCATGTGATTTGTCTCTGCTGTGATTGGGGTTCACATATTCCATTAAGCCTGCTTTGCTTCATAAACCATAGTTGGCTGGGATCATACAAGCTTTAAACTTAGGCCATTACACCGAAAGTAAACAAGGCACACGGTCTTTTTACATGAGGTGTGAATCCTGCCAGAAAAAAAATATTATTGATTGCATAGTATAGGTTTGTTAAACCTAGTTTAACCTAGGTTTAATCTAGATTGAGGATTCCCCACCCCATAGATTCCTCCAAGCTTGAGCTACAAGATAAGCAGACAGTGTGTTCAATTTTGTTGTGTTCAGCTTTATATATACTGTATATATAAATTTTCAGTGTAATAAAATATACAACACAAGCAAGAACAAAGATAGAAAATAAGAAATAGGAAAAAAAGAAAGAAAAAACATAAAATTATACCTTCTGCCCTTCTTTCTATCCATTCATTGTCATCTAAAACTTTTCCCCAACCTTTTCATCTCATTTTTAATCCCCAAATCATCAATTCATTTTTTCTTCTTTCAGCAAAAAGTCCATACAAGGGTTCTAGTCTTTTAAAAAAGTCTTTATCATTTTTGTTCTGACCTAACTGGTCAACTTTGCCCTTTCTGCAAGTTCAGTTAATTTTATGAGCCAGTCTACCACTGTATGTTATGTTCAACTTTTATAGAAAAAGTCATTTTCCTTTTATTATATTTCTATTAGTGGAAATTGCATGGATACGTTTATATCATTGTTTCAGTTATTTGTTCATAAATGTGTGATAAATCATTGGCTTTATATTGGCTACGAATCAGGAATCAGCAAACAGTTAACCCCCCTTGCCTTCTGGTTGGGCAAGATGAACAGACTTTTGAAAGATTGTTGATGAGGCTGGTTTCTGTGTGAAATTTTATGGGTGGGCATGTTTTAAAAGGCCATTGAAGACTTTGGCATCCCTAGGCCCCATGTTGTTACCCCTACCACTGTAAGCTGGTTTCTTATCACTGAATAAGAATCAGAAGGCATCTCAAGATCTTAGAGACCACCTTCTGAGGTTGCAGTACAGCTTCTTGACTTAGAAGGACTCAGAAGGCCATTGGTGATACCACCAGATGGGGTGTGGTTGAAATTTTATTGCCCATTGTTTGATTGAGATAGATAGATAGATAGATAGATAGATAGATAGATAGATAGATAGATAGATAGATTTAGGGGAGGGATTAAGGTTGGGAATGGGAATGGAAGGCAGACAGCTGTCACATCTTCCTTAAAGACTCCAAAACCCCAAAGTCATACCATTGGGACATGCCATTTTGCACCTGAATTTTGCTGGATCAGTCCTGTGGATGCTGCAACAACTGTATGGCCTTGGCTTCTACAGGCAGATAAATGGGTATTTGGTGACACTGGATTAGATGTAACTATGCTTAAAGAAGATCCACCGAGATCAGTAAACCATGACAATTCCCCTTTTTTTTACTGGATCTCTTTGACGGGGGATTCTGTTTACATCCTCTCTGTGCAAGTTGTTTCTGTTGGTGAAAGACCCTTTTTTTAAAAAAAACCAATTTCCTCTCTTGTTTGGTTTTAGGATTCTGTGCAGCGAAACTCATGTGCAGAGAGAGACTTCGCGATTCTCAACCCCTACGCTGGAATGTGGGACACCCCAGTTATGGCTGTTCTGAGTGGACATGTCATAAAGACTTGCTATATCTCACTGGAGGCTAAAATGTTTTCTTAACTGGTTGGATTTCCTCATTTTTATTTGGGACTCCTGCTTTTCCTGGTCTTCCCTGAAAACTACCCGATACCCCACAGTTCCTCCCCTTTATTCCACCAGCGGCCATGAATGGGCTGTCGGTTAGTGAACTCTGCTGTCTTTTTTGCTGTCCACCTTGTCCTAGTCGGATAGCTGCCAAGCTGGCTTTCCTACCTCCAGAGCCCACTTATACAATTGTCCCAGAACCAGATCCTGCTGGCAGCACTGGCAACGCCTCCTCCCGGAGTGGCACCATGGCTCGCTGGAAGCTTCATTTGACAGATCGGGCTGATTTCCAGTATACCCAACGAGAACTGGACACCATTGAGGTGTTCCTTACCAAAAGCAGCCGAGGGAACCGAGTGAGTTGCATGTATGTCCGCTGCGTTCCTGGCGCCAGGTGAGCAAATTTGAAAAGGTGGGTGGCAGTAGTAGTGCGGTGTTTGGGAGATGGGGTGTAGACCCAAGACATCTCAATCTGAAGATGGGTCTCCTTCTGTTGGAGGAGTTGCATTATGGAGTTGGGGTCCCAAGTATTTCTGAAGCGTCTTCAGAATAGAGCTAACTCCTGTGTGATCTAGTCAGTTCTTCCTCTTATTTAGCCAAGACCATTGGCAGGAGCTCAGGTTGGAGAAATGCTGAGGAACAGTGTCATACTTAGGAATCTGCTTTCTGGACCAAGGCCAGGCAACCCTTTTATAGCCAGAAACCATCCTTTTTTAAATCTTTTGCAGTAACAGCTGAATCTAGGGATTGTGATATCCCTGGAGAAAGCAGACCTTAGAATGATCATTCCAGTTTTTACCATCTTTTTTTTTTTTTTAATGCAAGGCAGTTTTTCCTAAGTAAAATAAAATTGATGCATTGAATTAAATAGATGGTGTGCTTCATTTAAAAATGGAAAATTGCCCTGTTGCAGTTATGATTCCGAAGGGTTGCAAAATGGCTGCGTACAGGCTGTGGCTTGCCCACCTTTGCTTTATGCTGTGAAGCCATTGGAACAGCCCTGTAGTTTGTTTTTCTCTATGTCGGTGCCCCCCGGATATATTGGACTGCAGCTTCCATCATCCCCTGCCTGCAGGAATTGGAATCAAATACATTGAGTAGATACCAGGTTGAAAAAATTGCCCTACAGTAGTTCCATGCTAAAGTATTAAGTGCAATATTAATACAGTATTAAGATCAGTCATTCTAAAGTCTGGCAGCACCTAAATTGAATAAATTATCATGATTGCCATCATCTTCATTATGATTATGTCACTGGGATACTGATCTCTTTTTTTGACATTTTTTCCTCCCCATTCCTTTGTTGCTTCCTGTCTGTTAAATTTTTAGAAATCTTCCTTGGCACAGGGTTTCTCTCCTCTAATTTTTTCTATAAGGCCCAGTGCACTGATGGCACTATTTAGTTGTGCAAGTCCTTGTTAGTGGTGGTGGGTAAATGTATATCTGCTGGGATTCCATCTCAGTGTCAGAAGCAGTTCTCAAGGAATTGTGGGATGCCCACCCTCCTTTTGCTTGGCGGAGCTCTTGATATGATGGCCGTCCTTATGTTATTGAAGAAACATGCTCACAGTCCCTCAGTTAAAGCAACAGTTTCAGCCAGTGATCATAGTTGGTGAAACTTGGAGGGGGGAAAAGACGTTATCAACTGAGCACAGTTAAACAACCAAGTTAAGAACCAATAGAAGAGAATATCTGTTGCTCAGGGTTGAACTGTGGAGTCCTTGGGCCTCTCTGAACTTGTTTGTTTGCAGACATTTCATTACCCCACCAGGTAACATTATCAGTGTACTGATGATGCTACCTAGCTGGATAATAAACCATCTGCAAGCAACCAACCAAGCTCAGAGAGCACCAAGTACTCCACAGTTAAGAACATCAGCCTAGCCCAAAGCTGCTTAATTGAGTTAATCTGGTGCTGTCATTTGGTGTATAAATTCTTGCTATGTTGCAGGGGCCTCCAGATAATCATAAGCCTGGAATTGGAAGGAGCTTGTGACCTCTTCCTCTCCCCCCCTTTTTTAATTTAGGGGTTGCTCAGACAACTGGAAAGCTCAAGGGGACTGGGCTCTGGCCTTGCGTAATCTGTTTCCATGACAATGTAAAAAACTTCATAGGTGCAGGAATTATGCCCCTTGAGAGCTTAAAATGTCATACTTAATTTTGCCAAAGAGTCCTGGTGTTTATTCCATGCGGTGAAAATTATCAAATGAGGTTTAATTAAGTCAGATTGGAGCCTGGCTTGTGGGGGTCACCAGGCCCAGTTCCCAAGGGAATCAGCCATGGGTGACATAGTCTTGAGCATGTGAGCTGCGAGTGCGAATTTTTACCTTCTGTCTCAACCTTTAGCACAGTGTTGTCCAAACTTGGCCACTTTAAGATGAGTGGACTTCAACCCCCCGAATTCCCCCGCCAGCCATGCAGGATTCCCCCACTGTGAGCATGCCGGCTGGGGGATTCTGGGAGGTGGAGGCCACTCCTCTTAAAGTAG